AAGCAAATTTTTGTCTTCAAGGTTTTTAATAAAAATCACTGTATAATGCATTACAATCAACATTGGTCCTAATGAAGCACACAAATATCTCCACTTAGCACGTATTTTATGCAAAATAATTATTTCTTTAGATTTGATTAAAAACAACAGTGGTACGTAAACAAGCTGGCATTTAAAGGGTTAAAAGCTTCAAAATGAATGAATATTTGGTCATTATAATCAGGGCTGATGTTGGCTAAAAAAAGAGTAATTGAAGTGGAATTTTTTTAAATACATAACAAATATTTCTGACAACATTTTTCTCTTTATGGTCCTTAGCATGAGTTTTTATTTAAAATCTGACACTGCATAAAAACAGAACATTTATCCTTTTCAGCTTGTTACAGAGAAATAGTTTTGCGTGCATCATCTTCAGAGCAGGTTTGTGATTTAAGTTCATATTTATTCACAGCCAATCACTGTGGACCGTTGTTTTAACTGTGAAGTGGATGGAAAAGTCTTTAGTTTCTGATAGATGATATGCAAATCTAGATTTGTAAAAAACAATATTTGGAAATGTAGCAAACTACTGCTGGAAACACTGGCATTGCAGCTATTGTAGCAAATCCTACAACTATTAATACAGAATATGCAGCACAAGAGCCTTGTTTGTCTGGTGTAATGTGAATAGCCCATATGAAATGTAGTAACTATTCTTTTTTTAAGTGTCACTAGTTTTAGTGCCACGCTTAGACCCCAGACTAGCCCTCTAAGGTTACACAGAGATCAAAGTTATGGCAGATAAACCATGACTAAATATGGTGACAGTTAAGCAGTGTTGACAAGAGGATTGTGGTTACAGTTTCAAAACAGTGAACATCATTTGTAGGTCTGTAGAACATAGTCAGTCAGCAAAATACAGAATCCGTGGCGTTAGCATTGTTGCAAGGAAAATACAACGTTTGCCAGTGTGGTGACTTTCCAGAGATCTAAAACATTATACAGCATGCTGGCATGTGATAAGACTAAATTAATGAATCTGGTTTTTATTTGTTGGTACTTCCAAAAAAAAAACTCCTGTTACCAACTGACTTCCATGCAAAAAGTGTCTATGTTGGTAGTTTTCTCAGAGAACCATTATGGTCTGAAATACCATGCTGGTGGTCATTTTGGAAAAATACTGCTAATTTACTACAATTTGGAGGCTTATATAAGGCTTTTCATGTCAGACAGGTGATATTCATTAGCTGTTCTGCAGTGTAAATCCTAAAACGCTTGGCTACAATGGAAACCAGTCGGTGACACAACACCAACTGTCGATTTGTGGTTACTGATTCTAATGGAGGGTTTCTTCAATCACTAGGTTGAGTGACAAAGACATGACGAGCTACTCTGTTATTGCTACAGCTCTGTCTGTCACATGACAGTCCTCCATTTGTAAGTGCCGGAGCTGTCACATGTCGCCAACGTACGATTAGGGGGACGACTGTGTATTTCTCAATCGTTGGTCGAGAACACCCGCTGCTGTTGATGCCTGTGATATCTCAATGGCTGTCACTGCAGTGTGACACGTAGGATATGTTGTAAAGACCACAAGGAATACAAAGATGATCACAGACCAAGAATATCCAAAGAAACAGAGTTAATCTAGCACAGCACCGTGTACGTCCATCTGTAGGCTAATTTGAAATTCAGCATACGGTCGTGTCGTGTTGGAATCCATTGGTGGTGACAGAGCCCCCAGGCAGCCAGGCATGACAAGGCATCAGATTGTTGGATTACTCATGACATTTTGGGGCTATTGTTTTCACAGCTCATAAGGTGCCTAAATCAAGTTTCGACATTTCACACCTGTAGCTGTGGTGAAACGTGCACCCTCTGCTACGCTGTGTTTGTGAGTCGCAGAGGAGTACAATGTCTGCTGGAGCAAATAAAAGACAGGGAGGCTAAATAACAAACATAAAGTCCTCCGCTGAACTTCGCTTAAAACCCAGGATCGGGGGAGGAATGTGTTTTCAGTGGTGCTGATTCAGAGGTCAGAGTTAAGTTACTGTACAAGGAAAAGTGCTGCATAGTTATCCAAACCACACACTGTGAAATGTGTCTGGATGGCATTAAAGCAGTAGGGGTCAGATCAAATGGGGAAACAGGCTCGATATAAAGGTTTTTATTCTGTGATTAATCAACGAACACTGATTGATCTGATGTGTCAAACAATAATTTTCCTTTAAGAATTTTAACGGAACATTTTGGGACATGTACTCCCAAAAGTCAGCCACAGCATTAACACCACTGAAAGGTAGAAGTGAATTATTTCTTTACAATGGAACCTGTCAAGGCTTAGGATGTGTTGGAAGCTGGAAAAGTTGGAACAAAACTGGGATTTCAAGACAACTGGGTCAAAAAACGGACAACTGGCGAGCAGCAGGGTTATGGGCACCCAAGACTCGCTGACGTGAAGGATCAAAGGCAGGTCTGTCTAATCTCACAGAAGAGCTGCTGTGGCACAAGTTGCTAAAAACCTTGACCTTCTGATTGAAAAGTGTCAGAACACACAGTGTATCTCAGTGTGGCTGTGTTGGGTGCCCATGCTGACCTGTGTCCAAAGTCAAAGCTAAACCTATTAACAAAACACATTTAGAAACAAGGAGTTGAATCAAAGTTGAAGCAATTAAAATAACAGGCCATAAAACACAATAAAACGCAAGGACTAAAAGACATGTCTGAAAGATTACAGCGCAATAAGAGATCAAGTGAAGGTGTTAAAGTCCACTTGGAGCAATAAAAAACCTGTCGGAACTGAACAATGGAACAATGGAAAACAGTGTCCTGGTTTGATGAATCATATTTTCTTTTATGGTCAAGACTGTTGGGTACCTGGCAATGTTCTGCTGGGAAACCTTTGACAATAAAACAATATAAAATATATATAAGAAAAATAAAATTCAGTAAAAGAAGACAATTAAAACACAATAAAGGCAGGAATAAAACAGTTAGAAGATAAAATGTACTGCCCTTAATACTGCCATCAAACGCATAAAACAACTCCTGTAAAAGCACATCTGTAGAAATGTGTTTTTAAAAGAGTTTCAAAGGAGGACAAAGTGCTTGCAGATCTGATCTCCTCAGGGAGACCGTTCCAGAGGGTGGGGGCTCTAACAGAAAAGGCCCGGTCACCTTTGGTCCTCAGCCTCGACTGTGGGACGGTGAGCAGAGCCTTGGCTGAGGACTGCAGGCTACGACCAGGCACATATGGGGTGAGGAGATCAGAAATGTATTGAGGTGCCGGTCCAGAGCGTGCTTTATAGGTTAACAATAAAATCTTAAAATCTATTCTAAAATTAATTGGAAGCCAATGATGGGAAGCTAAAATAGGAGTAATGTGATCTCTCTTTTTGGATTTGGTGAGGAGTCGGGTTGCTGCGTTTCGGACCAGCTGTAGTTTGTGAAGACTCTGCTGGTTAAGAACAGTGTGCAGAGAGTTACAGTAGTCTAAACGAGATGAGATAAAAGCATGGATAACAATTTCTAAATTATGTCTGGATAAAACTGACCTCACCTTAGAGAGTCTCCTAAGCTGCTAAAACAAGACTGCACAACTGAGCTGACATGCTGGTTCAGGTTAAGGTTTTCATCAGAGATGACCCCAACATTTTTACATTTTGTAGCTATATTACAGGATAGCGAACCTAAGTGTGTTGCTGCTGTGGCTGAACCTATAATCATTACTTGGGTTTTGTCTAAGTTTAACTGGAGGAAATGTTGAGCCATCCAGCATTTAAGGTCCTGGATGCAGCAGTTCAGAGATTGTAATTGATTAAAATCTTTGGGGTTAAAAGACAGGTACAGTTGTGTATCATCCGCATATGAGTGAGTATTACAGTACATA